TCGGGTTAGTTTCCTGTATGGGTTTTACCATGCATTCCTTCTCCGGCCCCGGGTAATACGGCTCCTCTTCTGCCTAAAACCGTGAGAAATGATTTTGTCAAAATTCAGAATTGGCACACCTTTATCAATTAGAATTAGATGGGAGGGTAGAACCTTCATTAAGGCCTTTGAGTCAGGAGACCCAAAGAATCACGGAATTTGGGAACCGGGGGGGGGGGGGGGGGGGTTCCCCCAAGGTCATCAAGTCTAACATTCTACAGAGTGCGGGAAAACTGAATTAAACTGCTCCCATAAGTGGGGTACAATCCAGCTTCTTAAGAGATAGGAAACCCACAGCTTCCGTTAATGGATTTTACTATTGTTGTTGTTGTTGTTGTTATTATTATTATTATTACATGAAAATCAGTCAACTGAACATTTTAAAATGTATCACAAATATCACTGACTGCTTCTAATCCAACCCAAGTGGGGTCTTGCGTTTTGTTTTGTTTTTTTCAATTTCCCCCAAATTCTTTTTGTGTCGCTTCCCTGCCATTTTGTGAGTGCTCCCTCGGGGTCGTTGCTTTGAGGAACAGAATGAAGGGGACCTCAAATTTCTGTGTGTGTGTGTGTGTGTGTGTTTACAGCCGATTTTTATTTTTAAATCTTACAGCCGCATTCTCGGAGCGGGAGAATTTAATTTCTCACCGTGAGAAATGAAAGCAAGCTATCAACTCCCAAGAAGACATTAAAATAATAATAACAATTCCCACTTACCTTATTTTTGCCGAAGGCTGCGAACGAAAAAGAGAATTTTTTTTTAGAAATATGCATTCTCTTTTTAACCAAACGTTAAAATGATAAAATAGCAAAAAAAAAAAAAATATCCCACCATTCTCCATCCTTCCCTCTTTTCGAAGCATTTGAAGCGACAACCGGCCTGCAAAAAAGTGCCTTAGGACCATTTTTCACACCTCTGTAGCAGCCCCATGACCATGAGATCAAAATTCAGACTCTCAGCGACTGTTTCATTCTTACGACCATCGCTGTGCCCCAAGGACATGAGATTCCCCCTTTAGTGACCGTCTGAAACTCAGTGGGGAAGCCGGATCCGCTTAACGATGGCATCCCTAACTTATCCACTCCAGGGGTTCACTTGGGGTTGGATTCTACCAGTTTGGACTGGTTCTATAGAACCGGTTGTTAACATTTGGCGCAGTTTGGAGAATCGGCAAATCGTGTCCCTGGCTGGCCCCGCCCCTCTCCGCCCAGCCAATCCTTATTGCACATGCATGACATTGCTGACTGCATTCTCCCCCACCCAGTCACTCCTTAAGGTTTTCCCCCCTCCCGATGATCAGCTGTTCCAACGATCAGCTGTTCCAACAATCAGCTGTTCTGAGATCCCCCTCGCTGTCTTACTGCTTCGCCCAGGAGGCTTCCCTGAGGCCCTGGAGGGGTGGGAGCACTCTGTTTTTTGCCTTCCTGGGCCCCATAGGAGTTTCCTGGGAGCAAAAATGTCCCCCCGCCGCAGGTTTCCCTGAGGCCCAATTGACCAATTGTCGATAGTTCTTCCGATGGGCATGGAAGTTATTGTTTGGATTGGCAGAGCTATTCTCGCCTACCTACCATTCATCGGGCATTTTTTCTTTTTCCAAACTATGAAGCCTATGAGCAGGGTGAAGAGTATCAGCAAAATGAAGACGGGAACTAAGATGGGCCCAAGATTCGTTGGTGGTTGTGGCCCACACACCACATCAGAGGTTGCATTGCCTTCTTCTGCTTGGATCAAGCCTTTCTCACTGCAACTGAGGTATGGGGGGAAGAAACGTTGAAGGAAACAGAAGAGGAAGGAGGGAGGAGGGAGGGAGGGAAGGAGAAGGAGAGGGAAGGAGGAAGAAGGAAGGGAAAGGAAGGGAAGGAAATGAAGGGAAAGGAAAGGAGGAAGGAAAAGGAAAGGAAAGAAAGGAAAGGAAAGGAAGAAGGGGAAAGGGAAGGGAAGGAGAAAGGGAGGGAGAATGGAGGGAGGAAGGAAAGGAAAAGGAAGGAAAGGGAAGGATACTAGTCAGACCCATCTGATAAAGGGATGGTGAATGGAGACAAAATATATTCAATTTTATTCCTAATGAGTATTGATCTTCAAAATTGGGACCCTTCACATAAGTTTGATTTCCACGCCATTTCTGGACCCCGGAAGCCAAGAGTTTGGGTGAGTTAATGAGACAACTTCTTTGCAGTAGGTGTTGAACGGATGGATGGGGAGATAAAGAAGGCATCCAAAATTCATTGTCAACTTCCTTCTGTTACACAGGTGTGTCTTCCAGCTCAGGAGTAATTTTTTTTTTTAACTGATTAGCACAGGTAGCCCTTGACTGACAATGGTTTACTCGGTGACCGTTCAAAGTTACAAAGGCCCTGAAAAATGGGACTGAGGATCATTTTTCACGCTTACAACCAGGGTTGGGCTACTACCGGTTCGCCACGGTTTGGGCGAACCGGTAGCAAAAATCAATATTTACATAAATATTTATAATATTTACATACAAGCCACGCCCAGCCGGTCACATGACCACCAAAGCCATGCCCAGTCAGCAAGCCACGCCCAGCCAGTCACATGACCACCAAAGCCACACCAAACAAATTAGGCCACACCCACACAACCGGTTGTTAAAACAATTGAATCCCACCCCTGTACTGCACACTCTTACCACTGCGCCACTGTGGCTCATTTAATCTAGCTAGGTGGCCAACGGGAGTCCAAAAAAGGGGGATTATTTAGGGCCATGGCATCTATCAATTAATCTGAAGGAAATGGGAATTATTACAGAAGAGAAGAAAGAAAAGAGGGGTTTTTTTTTTTTAAAAAAAGAAGACGCCGTTTCAAACAAGGTGGAGTAGCTGAAAGAGCCTTACTTGGTCCATTTGATGCAAGAAGGGGACATTTCTTTCAACGAAAATGTTCCCAGAGGACAGGATTCAAATTCCACATCGTTAATTTCAGTGCCTGTAAAATAGATAAATAAAAGATTTTGATGGGTTCTTGGATCGTCTAAGCGCCGAGAAAAGCCAGCATCAGAAGAACGGATTTACGTACAGGAAGTCTTCAACTTATGACAGTTCATTTAGTGATGGTTCAAAAGTTACAAACGGGCCATGTACCGTTTTGTCACACTTATGACCATTGCCGCATTTAGGTGCTTTGAAACTGGCATGTACTTATGACAGTGGTAGCAGTGGTGGGATTCAACCAGTGTTACTACTGGTTCAGTGACTACATTTTTCCTTCCTTCCTTCCTTCCTTCCTTCCTTCCTTCCTTCCTTCCTTCCTTCCTTCCTCTCCTATATTTACCTTTCCTTTCCTTTCCTTTCCTTTCCTTTCCTTTCCTTTCCTTCTTCCCTTCCTTCCTTTTCTCCCTTCCCTCTTCTTCCTTTCCTTTCCTTTCCTTTCCTTTCCTTTCCTTTCCTTTCCTTTCCTTTCCAAAGAACTTCCAACTCTGATATTCTGTTAAATGCAAAAGTGAATTTTAAGAGAGCCTCTTGGTGGAGAAAAAGGATCAGGAGCCCCGAGATCACCTCGGGGGGTGGGTGGGGGGTCTTACCAGCTCGCGTGACCCTAAAACCAGGAGGGGAGATTGCATGCCTCTTGCAAACCTCGCAGGAATCCACCTCCAGTTGGTGGGCACAGAAAAAACCCGGCTGGCAAGTGCATTTCGTGTCCTTCGTGTAGTGGCATCGCTCCTTGACTTTCATGTGATTTCCTGCAAGGCAGAATGACAAACGTTCTCCAAAGGCCCTCTTGAGGTCCTATAGCCTGACTCAGAGGCACCTCACCGACGAGCCCTAAATCTACTCATGGTATATTGTCCCCAAGGAGCTGTGGTGGCGCGGTGGGTCAGAAGGCAGAGTTGCAAGCTAACTCTGCAGACCACCAGCAGTTCGATCCTCACCGGCTCAAGGTAGACTCATCCTTCCGTCCTTCCGAGGTCAGTAAAATGAGGACCCAGATTGTTGAGGGGGGAAAGGCTGACTCTGTAAACCGCTTAGAGAGGGCTGTAAAAGCACTGTGAAGTGGTATATAAGTCTAAGGGCTATTGATATGATCCTGGTGGCTAGGATGGGAGGAATTAAAAAAAAATTGTAGGAATACCAGGAAACTAGTTTTCTCGACTTGAGCTATCCCACCCAGAGTTTCCCTGTTAGTTTGCTCGATCGGTTTGTTTCTTTACCTGGAGAACATTCTCGGCACTTCAAACACATTGTCAATCCATTTGGGTGCTCTGTAAACCATCCGGGCTCACAAGAAACACAGACGGTATTGGTAGCGCTGGTGCAATGCCTTAAAACGCGCTGTCCTAGATTGAAGAGATCGAAAAGGATCACAGAATCCTAGGGCTGCAAGGGAGCCTTGGAGGTCGTCTAGCCCAGTGGTCACCAACCGGTGGGCCCCGGCCCACTGGTGGACCCCAAGAAAATTTTGGTGGGCCCAAGAGAAATGTCACCCGCCCCCCAAAGCAATTAATCCAGGCTGCGCAGAAGCACAAGGCTGCGCCACCCACATGGCCCTGGGCAACCCTCCCCGCCCACTCCTGCTAAGTTGCTATTTTTCCTTTTTCCGACTATCAGCTGTTCTGCTGTGCCGGGAGATTTAGATTAGCTAGAAAGCAAGAAATGGTTGGATTTTTTGCTTTCTAGCTAATCTTTAGATCTTCGGCTCTGCTTTTAAGCACAGCTGAACCTCCCTTAGGACTGACGGTTCTGTTATTCAGTGCAGACGCTTGGCAAGCAAACTTTATGTGGCAGACTCAGGTAGCCGATGGCAGACAGATAGATCACTGAATGAAACTGTGATTCTGTGAGCAACTCAATCTGCCTGCCTGCTTAGTCTGATTTTGGGTAAAAGTTGCTCTTTTTTTATAAAAAATATATATCAACATTTATATAAATTTTTATAATATTTACATACAAGCCATGCCCAGCCAGTCACATGATCACCAAGCCACACCCACAGATTAGGCCACACCCACAGAACCAGTTAATGATCCCTGGGATTTAAAATTATGAGTTTGGTGGTCCCTGTGGTCCAAAAGGCTGGCAACCTCTGGACTAGCCCAACCTCCTGCCCCAAAAGAAAATCCATTCTCAAAAAGGTTGTGATTAGGGGAATGTGGAAAATAGAATATTCCGTTCTAACCATTTATGTAGATTGGTGTTTTCTGCTTGAGCAGGGGGTTGGACTAGAAGACCTCCAAGGCCCCATCCAACTCTGTTTATTCTACGTTCAGTCTCAGCTCAACCTGCTACAGTTACCTGCTTCTTTCACTCTTCGGTCCTCCTTCTAGCCATGCAGAAAGAACAGAGACCCTTTAACGTACCTTCACTACACTTGGGACAGCACTCCCCTCGGATGGAGTATTCCCACGACTCACAGGAAAAGGCACCCCGAAGGAACAGCAAGTGGATCACCAAGGCAACGTGAAGCACCTTTCATAAAAAGGGAGGAGGAGGAGGAGGAGGAGGAGGAGGAGGGGAAGATGAAGGGGAAGAAGAAAGGGAAAAATAAGAGGGAGGAGGAGGAGGAGGAGGAGGAGGAGGAAAGAAGAGGGGAAAGAAGAAAGGGAAAAATGAGAGGGGGAGGAGAGGAGGAAGAAGGAGGAGGAGGAGAAGAAGAAGAAGAAGAAGAAGA